CGGATCTACACCTCCTCCTTTGAAGCAACCTTCTTGATCTTCAAGTTCCTTTCCCAAAGTTTCCTTCCTCCAAGCTATTTCTCTCAAATGATGGAAGCTCTAACAAAATCAAGGGTTTACTGGTTCTCTAGGATGATATGGGGGCTGAGGGAGGGACATAACACCCTTTAAATAGGACACAACTCCCGGGATTAGGGTTTTCCTCGTTTAGACCAGACTTGCCAAGTCACCTTGGCCGACTCGCCGAGTCGGTCACTTACTCCTCGACCCGGATCTCGCTCGGACTCGCCGAGTCGCCCCTTAAAAAATTAGGATTTTCTTTCCTTTCTTGGCCTTCCAAACTTTGGGTGTTACATCTCGGCTCCGAATATCAGCTCTACCTGTCACCTATTCATCAAATAGTGACCAATCCTTAGATACAACTCAAAATATCTCAAATACCCTTTAGGTCAAACTTGGTCAAAGTCAACAGTCCATGTTGACCCAATACGCCGTGTTCCCCTTGTCCATGTCATGTTCTGCCAGCATCTAAAAAGGCGGGAAAAACCCCAGCCAACACGTCGTGTTGACTTGCAACCATGTCGTGGTTGCCTGAGTTTCAACAACTTACTACATTTAGTTGTTTTCTTCGACTCCAAGAGCTCTAAAGCTCAGATCTAAACCAAAATGTGATCTAAAGGATAAAGTTTCCAACTTTATCTATTAGGACTACCCAAAAAGGTCCAAACACCAATCCATAAGGCCTAATAATGCAAGGCCTTAACCAATAAGCACTTAATTCCTAAAGATTGAAGTCCATCCCTTCCAGAAGTGATACTAGCACCAAAATCATCCTAAAGGTGGGTGCTTTATAGACATACATGTCCAATTCATGTCTTGAACCCATATTAGGTCAAAATGAGGAATTATGACCTAATCTCTATGCATGACATCAAAACTTGATTATAATCCAGATCCAAGACACTACTAGCTCATCTTGACCTAGAGATTCAGAAAGTTGCAAACTTTATGAGGTCTAATCATTCCAACATTCAAGAACAAGAAACTAAAGGCACAAAACTCAAGATCTAACAACTCATAATGATAAAAATTGAGTCTTGGAGACTTACAAAGGTCCAGAAGAGTGCCAAGGTGAATTATGGTGACTTGCTTGCTTGATATTTGCTTCCTTCCTCCTCCTTCTTCCTTGTTTAGCTTCAAAAAGCACCAAACTAGCTCAAATATGGAGGAATATGATTAGGATTTGAATGGGACGATTTGAGGGAACCGAGGCTGATGTGAGGGAGGCTATGAGGTTAAGGATCCTTAAATAAGGCTCAACCCTTAAACTTTAGGGTTTTATCCATCAACCGCCACCACGCCGTGGTACAACACCACCACGTCGTGGTGGTCCAAACTTCACGGCCCAAAGTCTTATCGCCACGCCGTGGTGAGGCTTCACTACGCCGTGGCCAAAGAGTAATCATGCACAATTCATAAATAATTTCATACCTAAAATCGAGTGTTAAACTATGTTTAGGTGGCAAGAAATGAATGGAATTCAAGGGAAAATGATTCTAATTCCTTCAAATTCATGCGTTTTGTTGGACTTAAAATGGGGAAAGGGATTCCTAAATGAAATAAACTTTCCACCATATGAAGGAAAGTGGATTCCTTCAAAAGTTGGATGGAAAACATTCATTCTCATCAAGGAAAGTGACAGATTACAAAAATACCCCTGTTACTTATTAGAAAACCAACACCCACCACTACTATTATCGATAACCAACTGTTACTGCCACCACCACTTACCACCACCACCACCACTATCGTTACCTCCACCATCACTATCACCTACCACCACCACCCACTACCACCACCACCACCACCACAATCACCCGCCACCACTACCATCACCATCGTATCCACCACCATCGTCGCCACGACCACTACCGCTACCACTACCATCACCCACCATCACTACCACCGCCATCACTACCACCACCATCACTTCCACCACTACCACTATCGCCGCTACCACCACCACCACCACTAACATTGTTGTCACCACCACTACTACTATCACTCGCCACCACTATTGTCGTTGCCACTACAACCATCACTATCGTCACCACCACCATAACTACCATCACCCAACACCACTACCACCGTCATCACCACCACAATTGTCACCGTCACCACCACCCACCGCCGCTGTCACTACCACCATCACCATCACCAACATTATCACCATCACCATTGTCGTTATCACCACCGTCACCGCCAATACCACCACCGTCATCGCCATCACCACCCTACCATCATCCACTACTACTACCACCACCACCGCCATCCTTACCATCATCCACTACTATTACCACCGCCACCACCACCACAACTACCACTACTACCACCACCGTCGTCGTCATCGCCGCCACCACCACCACCACTACCATCGCTGCCACCACCATCACTATCGCTTTCATTGCCACCACTACTATTATTATCCGTCACGATTGTTGTCACAACCATCACCATTACCATCATCCAACACCACAACCACCTTCACCGCCACCACTACCACCACCACCACTACCACCGCAACTATTACCGAGATTTTACTATTTTTATAATTTTTTATAATGTATATTAACATATAAGTTAGAAAATAAAGTAAATTTATGCAAAACAAACAAAAAAATAATTATGTCATTTTACATAGATTCCAATTTCATTTCCTACAAATCAAATATAATCTGGAATTGCCAACCAAATAGGATATGAAATTGGATTCAAATTCATGATAGATTTCTTTTTCAATTCCAATTGAAATTCTTTCAAAAACATTATGCGAACCAAACAACAATATAATAAGGTTGGATTCGCTCTGTGTTTTTTAAGACTTCTATGAAAATATGTACATTATGCTAATAAGAACTTTTAATTATAGAACATAAACATTATATGTTCGATTTTTTTCGAAGCTGACAATAAAATCCTTGTCACTATAAAGAAGTTCGCAGTTTAGGTATTCGTCTGAATTTTCAAAACCTTTTTTTTTTTTTGAAAAAGGAGTTTACAACACTCAAAGTTGTTCGAGAATCTTAGTAGAACGGGGTGTTTATTTCCGAAATTTACAAGTTTGTCCAACTGTTAATATGTATATATTGAATGTAGTCGTTTTGGTTATTATTGTTTTTTTTTTTTTTTTCCAATTTTTACTCACTAAAAAATACTTTCGATGTTTACTGAATTGTCAAAAACTTCCATTAAATAATGTGAGTGGTCTAAAAAGGCTTTAATAACTATGTAATCCACTAATCCTAGTAATAAAGAGAGACTAACCAATCATTAACTAAAAGAGCCCCTATCTACCTGTCGATTAGAAACTCAAATATCTGAAAAATGTAGTTGACGATTAAGTCATTGCTCCATCATGATAAAAATGCTTCTATCAACAAGTGTCACTATCAAAAAAATTAAATCATATTGCTTTAGAATAAAGAATCTAATAGTCATTCTTGAATCCGTAACCTTATTTATGAATTCTTACATCACCATAACAAATTTAATCTATGTCGATCATATGGGTTTAAAACATTTCATTGGATTTTTAAATATGTTGAAGCAAAAATAAGAGAGAATATTTGACAATCGAGCTCATATAACAAAATGGTTGCTAATTAACCACTTGAGAGGATTGAAAAAGTCGGTAGTTTCCATTGAAAGGGTGAAACGGTGAATGACTTCTTGTTGGAACAAAATCTGCAAATTTGAATTTACGGGAAACCTTTCTATTAATGAATAGTTTTCCTTAATCATTCATCACTCGACTATTATTTATGAGTTTTCTTTCTCAAGTATATACAACACATCCATGATTTATGAGTGGATAAATGATTGTACGAAAGGAAATGGAATTAATGAAAAAAATGTCAAAGCGTGAAGAGTCATGTCATTCGACTAATCAGAAGAATATCAAAATGAAGGGTTGGCATCCACCCGAAACTTGCTCAATGTGTTCCATGATTGATCAACTTGATGTACCTTATTTCTTAAATGAAAAGTCGAATTTGGTCATGATGTTTCCTTTGTGGTTTTTATTGCCTTCCCATTATCTTCTCCAACTATAGAATTTGGTTGAATTTGATCAACCGGATGAAATTTGTTTTTTCTTGGATTTTTACTATTGAATTTTTGTTTTTGTTGTTTAAGACAAGAGAAAAGATTTGAAGGTGAAAGGAATGAAAAGTATATACATTTTGGTCATTTTACTTTGTCGTAAGTCTTTATTTGAAATGAACATGAAGGGATATATTGTCCAAGCATCCATTTTTGGCAGGATGTGTCACCCCAAGACAAAGAAAAACAATTTATTCATCTTTGGCCACCAATTAAGGATTTCTGATTGCATAACATCATTTTTATATATATTTTTTATCCAACTAACATTCATTTCAAGTTCTTAACAATACTACAATGTTACTTCTTAAACAATGTTTGAGCAAGAGCCTCTTCCTACTTCCTACTTTTTCTTTTTTTTTTCTTTTTGTTACAATTTCCATATTTTCGTATTTAGTCTTATCAAACAACACGACTTTGCTCTTCCACCAACGCGACATGTTTGAGAAAGTCTTCAACACACATATTTATGGAGAGATAATAGAAGGGGATAGTAGAGTGGAATGGAACATAGATTAGTGTGGGTAGTTGGGTGAACATTGAGATGTGCTGGATTGCATTAATTTGTGCTTCTACTTCTACTTAGACCCAACATTCAAGTTCTAGTTAGGTTTTCGGTTTATTCTCTACATTTATTCTTCCACACACCTAATTTTGTTCGCATCATCCTCCTTCAAACAACCCTAAATTATAAAGAAACCAAAATTTTCAAACTGTGATATGTAAATCAGATACACAACACCTAATGCCCACAATAACCCTAATACATATCAAAAACCCTAAACCATATTGGAACCGAAACTTCCAAACAGTGAAACGAAAATCAAATAAATAAGATCCAACACGCCCAATGTCTATAAGAAGTCTAATCTATTATACCGAAACCCAAAACTTAATACTGCAACTGTTGAGACTAAAACCCTGGTTTTGAAAAGCTACTATCAATACTCCAAATTTCCAAAAACCTAACACTTGGAAAGACCCCAAAACACAATTTCTTTACATAAAGTTAACTTAGTCACCATCAAATTCGACCTAATACAACGGTACCCTATCACAATTGCTGCGTGGATAAGTTGGCTACCACCTCTTTCATCGAATCCTATTTCTTGGGCATACAACTTGAGCCACAATATTTTTGGCATTTTCCATCAACTAGACATGTCATGTCCTTGCATTCCGATTCTAGGACCATTCATAGTGGGGAAAAAAAATGTGGTGTTCAGATTCCATCAACATCGGTATCCACCATTCCCATTACGGATAATAATATCATATATTTATATGGATCTCATTGCCATAAACTACATTAAAGAACCTTGCTTTCATGGTTTTTAGATGAATAATCAACAATTGTAAAAAAGTTGGGGAAATCTTTATACAAGTGGCGAGTTCTTACACAAACATATATCACAATCCCCATTGATCCCAACTAAAAAATGACATCTTTTTACTACTGGAATGGGACAATCTTTCATTCATGTCGTGTAGTTGATCTTTAAGATCTTTGTTCTCTGTTAGCAAGTGGTCGTATTCTACATGAAGCCCTACTAATTGATTTTTTAGGGTACTGGAATTGGCTTTTCTGGACTGCACGTCTTTTTCCCTTTTATCACATTCCGATTCCAGTTTTGTGATTCCTGTCTTTAACCTAGAAATGTCTTCTTTTATAGATTTTGCCAAATGTGCATTCTTTCTGTTGGTGTCTTCACAGGCCTGGTTTTGGTTCCTTGAAGCTGTTATGATCTCTGTAAGTATAACAACTGGTTTAATGAATTCGTGTAGGGTTTCTATCATCACCAATAGGAACAGTGAAACGCCTGCAAGTAATGATTTAAGCAGTAACATTATAATCAACACATATATTAAGCTGATTTCCTTCCGTTTTAACAGTTCGAGATTACTTGCAACAATTCATGTAAGGTGGATAAATGCTAAATCTAAAGTAAATTGTCAACTAGAAATAGTCAGCTGATTATAGTCATAGGAAAATATGATAGCAAGCCAGTGGCATCAGGCATGACAGATCAATTTAGGCATATGATTTCAATTAATTGCATCGAATTGGATATCACTCTCAAGAACAATAAATCAAAGCAATTAGGGGGAAGTGACAGAAGATTACCCATGAGAGAAGCTTCAAGGATACGGAAGGCGAGAATGACGCGATTGGGGGAATCGACGGTATCGGCGGAGCAGCTACGGATTTCCACTACGGTGTAGATATTGTACATCATTACTACGAACACGGTGACACCGACAGATGTCACAGCCAATTGAGCTTTTCCTTGTTTGAATCCGTCTAAACCGGCAACTAGGGGCTCTCGGAGTGGGGTTTTGAACAGAAGTAACAGAATCATCATCATTTCGGCGAATAAAACGGTGAATAACAGATAAATCATTGTATAATTGTTAAGAACTACACGAGTGTGCAAAAACCTAAACCGATCGATAACCCACGACAACGTGTTCTTCAGTTCGAACTAGGGTTCATCGACCTCCGGCATTCCTGATCAACTAGAGAGGTGTGATCAAAAAATGGGACGCGCTTTTGGTCAAGATTTAGATTCCATTTCCGAAGGGAGTTCTTTCGGATTTCTTGAAAATTTGAAAGGGATTTAATGAAAAAATATATATGACATAAATAACCAGATCCTCAATATATTCTTGCAGTTATTGCTATGAACGAGTTATCAAAATATAAATTAAACTTTTTATTAGAAAAAATATTATGCAGATAATTCAAAATAAAATAGTATTTTATCTATTATATTATATTGTACTAGGAAAATCTATGGAAAAATCCAAATTTTGCCCAAATTTATGATTAAGTCCTAAGTTAATTTTCGTTAATGAAAAACAACAGGATATCAACTATTATATTCATTTTAGCCCTTTAATCTGGTAACCCTTTTATTAGTAAGCTACCTAAGCTGCATCAACCTTATTACCCTCTGTTGACCCTCCCTATCACCCACTTCTATGTAAAACCCCCTCCATCTGTAAAAACCATTTCTTACTCTCCATCGAAACCAAACCCTAGATTGGAAGAATCAACAGTAAGAAAATCATAAGAAATCCACGTGGTACTCCATTATCTTGTAATCTGAGTTTTTTCCCTTAAAATATTATGATTAACGTTTTGTTTTGTAGTTATAATGGAGATAGTAGATGAATTGGATACCATTGACGTGGAATTGAATGAGTTTTCCAAAGAGAAACAAAGAAGTTGATACAAAGATGAGTTCCTAAACACTCTTACAAAAGAAGAGCTTGGCGAATGCACCATACCTAAGATAAACTTACATGATTTTACAAGAATCTTAGAAGATGAAGCACAACTGGAGCTAAGTGAGGGTGACGATGAAGACAAATTGCAGTCTATACACAACACATGATTCTAAGGTGAAATGGAACAATATAAAGCTCGTTCTTGGGGAGAGGTATGAATCACCACACCAACTAAAGCTTTGTTTGACAAATTACTCTATAAGTAGGGGTTATCCAGTTATGTTCAAGAAATGTGATAGTGAAAGGTTTGTGGTTGTATGTGCAAGTGACCCGGAGAAATTTCAATGTCTCTATGTGGTAAGGGCCTCATGGAAGAGCACTGAAAGATCATTCCAAAGCAAAAAAAAATAGTGGAGCAACATACTTATGTTAGGAATTTCCGTAGTACAAATCTTATGGATCTCACATAGATAGCTAGACAGTTTCTGGAGGAGATGATTAGGAAGCCAAATCTAAAATGTAAGGAAATGCAAGCTACTATTCAAAGCAGATTCCATTGCAAGGTTTCATGTTTAAAATGTTATAGAGCAAAGTGTAGGGAAAATTCTTTAATAGATGGAAATTTTAAGTGATCACTATGAAAAAGTATAGGATTATGGACATGAGTTAATGAGGTTCAATCTAAGGAGTACAATTCAAATATATGTTACTGTAAACCCTGGTAAAAGTACTACTACTTTCCATAGAATGTATACATGATTTAAGGCTATCAAATAAGGATGGAAAGTTTGTTGCCGTAGAACTATTGGTCTTGATGGAAGTTTTTTTAAGGGACAATGTAAAGGTGAGGTGCTAAATGTTATAGGGAGGGATACAAATAACCATATGTATCCCATTGCTTGGGTTGTAGTTAATAATGAGAACAAGACTAACTAGAAGTGGTTCGTGGAACTATTACGAGATGACTTGGAATTAAAAAGAGTCTTGGATTTGTGTGTTATTTCTGATCAACACAAGCTAATGTCTTTAATTAGCTTAATTTCCATTTCATTTATACTGTAATATCCTAAAAACCAAAGATAAAAATTTCATTTTGATAATAACTAAAACACTATTGTAACTTTATTCAAACATTTAAAAGCATTTCAAAGTAAAATAGTTATCATAGTTCATTCCCAAAGATCACATATTGCGGAAAACACGAGTGTATGCGCTGTGATCAAGCCGGACCCTTCCCCTTCGAACCGGAAATACCTAAACCCGAAAATCACAAACTGTAAGCACAAAGCTTAGTGAGTTCCCCCAAATACCACATACCATACATATCAAACAAGCCTTACATAACATACACAATTATTAGCCATATATATCACACATAAACATAATCTATAGGAGTACTATGTGCCAACCATAATCTTGCCATTATACCACGAGTCGCCTTGTGGTCTTCCATGTCAGGCTGGGGGCCACAACCCTGGGTATTACAGACAAGTGCCAGGAGCCACTTCATGGTCTTCTATGCCAGTATCACAAAGGCAACCAACATACAATCTGCAACTACTTAACTAACATTTGCCAGAGTTTAGACTCTGGTCTTTCATACAATTTTCCAGGAGCCGTCTTCTGGCCTTTCATACAAAATGTCAAGTGTCACGGCCAAGTCTTCCTACCATACATAAACCAAATGGGCCGGTATTGGTGCCTTCGACCCATAGAACAGTAAGGAGACTCATCTCGAATGCAGAAGCTCACTGAAAGAAATCATTGGTTCTTGCCCTGATGACTTCCCAACATATCAATACCAAAATATCATCCAATTAGAAACTGGGTTCCAAACTATGATCCATAATCTATACTTGGGATAAAACGACCATTTTACCCCTAACCCAACATGAACCAAAATTGAGGCCCAAGCCCAAAACCAGGAAGGTCCAACTACATGATCCATAAAGCCCACTAATGGCCCAATTTTCCAAATTGGGCCCAAACCCTTACATGGACCTTTCCTTGAAGCCCATTAACATTTCCTAAACCAAAAATCACATTCATAGCTAGCCGAACAAAACCTTTAAACAATACAAGCCCCATGATAGCCCAAACTCGAAATAACACCACAAGGCCCAATAAGGTCCAATAACCCCAATTAGGCCCAAATCTATTATGGACCTATCCCAAGAAGGCCCAATATCCAAAAGGCCTGAAATATTGAATGGTCAACCGTAGCCAACTCCTGGTCTAAGGTCCAAAGCTCAAAAACTCAACAAAACAAAAAGCATCAACCAGGTCGAGCACGCCATGCGTACTCCGCTGTTACACCCAACGTACAACCCTTGGGGCCAGAACTTGTACTCCCCTGGTCCCCAATCTCCTCTGTTAAGCACTTAATCACCTCAGCCCTTGCTCCAAACTCTCCAGTCATATTCCTATGGACGACTTTTCAAGTAAAGTTGGCAAGTTTACTAGCATGCATGGATTAATGGGGTTTTATAGCTCAAAAGAGCTAAACGGATGGTCTTAACACATGCATGAACTGAAAACCTCCACAGAGCTTGCACCTTTATGAATGGGGGGACCTTAAAATGTCCAGATCTACTAGATTGAGCTCCTAAAACAACCCTATCCCACAAAGACCAAGGAAAAGGGACTAAAATGGCCATAAACTAACCCAAAAGTAGATCTATTCAATAAGTAGCCAAGATAGAGACTTTATACCTCTAAAGTCTCGAAATGGAGATGTTAACATTAGATCTCTAGGCTCTTCTCCAGAGTTTGAGTCTTCCACCTTCTTTTTCTCTTGCACATACCACCAAGAATCTTCTTTCAAGCTCCAAGCTTCACCCAAGGCACTGTAGGGTTTTATGCATATCAAAAGAGGTAGTGGCTGACTTAAAATGACCAAAACGGTGGTATAATGTCATTTATATAGGGTAGGAGCCCCGAAATTAGGGTTTTTCTCTGAAGGAAGTACGCACGGCCTACTCACAAACCACCAGTGACCATTTAACCTCATACGCACCATGTTCTCAATGAGTACGCCCTGCGTATTCATGGTGTGACACCTAGAATCTGGAAAGTTAATTGTGGAAATAAATTCCTTTCCTAGGGACCAACTCGGCAAGTTTATGGTGGGAACTCGACGTATTGGAGGCTTTTGGTTCGCGTGTTTTTATGGACCAAATTAGCTGAAGGGGAACTCGACGAGTTGGACGTTGCTTGAGAAACCCTAAATTTTAGGGTGTTGCTGCTGGATTAGTGTCTAAGTCCATAACTATTTTGGTATGTACTTGACCCGACTATGAGCATGATCCTTTTGGGTTGCCTTCACCATAGCAATATGTAGGATGAATTAAGGAGAGAAAGGATTAATTATGATTTATTAATATATTATAAGAATAATATATTAAAGGAGAAATCATAATGTTTAATTAATATTAGTCAAAGAATTAATTAATAATTAATTTTGTGGCTAAAAGAGATTAATTAAACTTAGGGGACTGGATTTGTAATTATAAGATAATTGCAATTGGGCTATGGATCACCTTGGAATAATAGGTTGGACGAATTCCATGGGGAAGCCCATTAGAAATCGTCCAAGGCATGTTCCAGAAGGGGTCCATAGGCTGCTTAGGGCTTAAGCAGTCAAATTAGGGTTTCCTTGTTTAATAACCCTAATTGCCTAAGTATATAAGGAACCTTGGGCACCAAAAACGTGGCTAACACTTCCTTTAGGGTTTCCAGCTGTTTTTTGTGCCTCCTCTCTCTTCCCTCTTCATCCAAGTTGCTTAGTGGTGTTTGTGATTTGAATAAGAGTAAATTATTATTATTTTAATATTCAAATTAGCGTTTTCTACAACTATAAAGGGGCCTATATAAGTCTCTAAAAACCCTAGACAACTTATAAGTGAATTTCAAAATTCTCTTCCTCTTCCTCCTCCCCTCTCCCTCTTTCTTTCTTTCTCTCTCTCTCTCTCTCTCTCTCTCTCTCTCTCTCTCTGTAACACCGTAAATTTCAAGGCAAAATTTTCGTTTAAAATAATCATTTTAATATTAAAACACTTGTTTAAAATCTCATACATAATTGAATTACAAGACATAGTTTCATTTTCACTTGAATAGAAAACCAGGATCCCCCAACATATAACTCTTTCTCTGGTGTGTACAATCGAGCCGGTGCCGTCCCGTGAAAGAACCTGAAAACAACATAACACAAAACACTGTAAGCACGAAGCTTAGTGAGTTCCCCAGTATACCACTTACACATATACGCATTTCCAGGCCCTGACCTTCCGGTCCACAGCACAACGCCTTCCGGCCCATAACATAATCGCCTTCCGGCCCATAACATATTTGCCTTCCGGCCCGTAACATATTTTCCTTCCGGCCCGTAACATATTGCCTTCTGGCCCGTAACATATTGCCTTCCGGCCCATAACATATTG